AGCGCCGGCACGAGGCACCTCACAATGAAATTTTTTTTGAGGGAATGTGTTTAATGAAAATGAAAAAAAAAAAAAAAATAACAAAAATAAATAACAACATTGCCAATGGCCGGCAAACCCCCCCTCAACAGATTTCGATTTGAATTCGGCGAACCCATAAAAGAGCTCAGCCAGCGAGCACTGACCATGCCAAACGACCCAACTTTATTAGCAGCTGTTGCCAACTAAGTTGCCACAAATCTGTGGGCGGACTCTGGCAAAAATGTTGGAGTTATGCCAACAATTTTCATGCCGTACATGCGCTCGGCAAGGGCAATACTTGAGCGAATATGATGAATGCGAAACAGGCCCCTCAAAAACTGTTTAGAATTGACCCGAGCCAATTATGGAGTGATCTGTAATTGTTTGCTTTTCCTGTATCTAAGGCGACTCCAGCCTAAATTTCGCGGCAGCCAGGCCCATAAAAGTAGGCAATAGCAAATTATATTTCAGTTTACGAGTTGAATCTGGGACTACGCGATTATATTACACCAAAATAGTCACACTTGACATCATTCCTTAATTATTTTTAGTACGGCCTTGACCAGTGCTGGCTGTACCGACTCATCGGTATTGAGGAATGCCATGTATATTAAATAATAAAAGCAAGCAAGTGGGATTACGTTCCCAAATCCTGCAGATGTGGAGATCAGCGTGTGCAGAGTGCAGGGCATTCACACAGAACAGATTGTGAAGCTTTTGGATGCCCTTCACAGAAACTGAAACTTATTTTTATGTTCAATATCTGAAGGTAATTTCGAAGTGTGCAAGGACCTCTGTGATAGCCTGTTGGGATGCGCATGTCATCCTTTTGATTAATGGCTAAATAAAAATAGCTAATGTCAATAGCAGATGCACGGCTTGCGGTAGACAATTTCTTTTTTATCCATTTATTTTATGTAATTCCTTTTTTTGTAATTTATTTGACAATCGGAAGCGAAATTGCGACGCAATAGTATGTATGTACTCATGTATATTTTCATTTGCAAAACCTGTGCGACGCGACGCATCTAAAAATAATACCTGCAAATCGGCAGCCAGACTATAATTATAAGAATTATATAAATATTTGAATACCGTTTGTAAATTTGTGTGTACTTAACTATACATACATACTTATGTGCTCGGGCATATGTAGATCAAGTTTAAATTAATGCCAACGATAAGAAAAATAAATAAATACAAGACACCGAAGGCAAGGCTGCAGACGCGCCAGTTCGACTGCAAAATGCGCTACACCGAAACTAAGCTTTATAAGTGAATAAACCAAATAAACATATATTTGAGAATTCAATTTCCAACTAAATAATTGCTTTCAACTTGACAGAGCATCGTTAGCCAAGCAGACTTAATAACTCATATCCCCACCTTCCGTAGGGCATACAAAGCACGTATAGTCCCACAAAAGCAAAAGCAATGTGCGAATCATAGTGTGAATTGCAAATTCGTGATGTTGCATATAAGCTAAAAGGAAAATTTGTTGACGTGTCTGCAAAAACTAATACATGAAACAATAGTGCTCGACTAGCAGATACCCTGAACCCAGCTGAGCTGCCTTTACAAACATTCTAGCTTCCTTCTATATACACATTCATAAAAATGCGCACATGGGAAATGCGTTCTACTTAGTATATTGTAGCTTGTGTATATTTTACGAGATCTAACTTTAATATATTCAAAATTTAAAATCCTTAGCTCTTATAGTTTCCATGATCGAAGCCACCTAGTGCCTGCACAAAACAATCATAGCCTTTAAGCCAATGGATGCAGGGTATAAAAAAAAAATAAATTTGACTAATACAACTGCTTACAGATAAGTACTCGCATTATCGTTTACGTTTCTTTTCTATAGCGAGACTGCCGACTGCAAAACATTGTATATTGTATTTTGTTTTTCTTTTCAATTACGTCAATGGCAACAACGTAGAAAGCTTTTCAGAGAAAGGCATGACAACAAAATGTAGACCAGAACCTACATCAAAAGATCCCAGACTATACGCACCATACGTAATCGGCAACATCGCGAGCATCATCAGCAAAATGATCTATTGCAAACCGTTCCTAACTGAACTGAACTGAACTGATCTGAACTGTGAAGAGCGGCGCATCATTCGCTTTCGGTTTCTTCCGGCAGGGCAAGAGGCGAACGTTTGCCTCTGCTTCTTCGGTCGGTTTAATGGCATAAACAAAAAGCTGCTTAGTCAGCTGCAATGAGAACTTGTTATTTGTTTTTACAAAAATTTTAAACATATACGCAACCAAAAATATAAGCAAATGATGAATGTAAATGGACCCATCATAGGCAGACTAATGTTAGCAGGGTTTTTTTTTTTTTTGATAAACAATGCTTAAATATTGCTTTAATTAAATTAAAGCACAAATGATATGCCGTAAAATGTTCTTCGAAAACATCTCGATTATCTCGTAATGTGCACCCTCAATAAATGAGCAAAATTTTCCCCTTAAATAAATGCAGTAACTTCCACGCGCGACAGCTTACAGCTGTTATCATATATCATTTAATAATTTTCCTGAAAATTTTAAGAATTTAATACCGATAAAGCAGCAAGGCAATTCGGATGATTATTCATGCTTGGAACATGCACACAATTGGCACGAATATAGATATAGGTATATATAAAATATTTAAATTGCTCAAATGTGCATATAATTTAAATGCACATTTTTAGCATTTAATTATTATAATTAAGCTGCTCATATCAAAGGAATTTCCAAATGAAATCATGTAGAAATATGCATACATATTTCTCTAAATATATGTTTGCGATTATATACACACATTTGTTCTGGCCTGTCAAATCAATTAAAGGTGATATAATTTGGCAAGTGCGGCAAAACTTAAAATTACCGCGACTCATTATTTATTCAATTAGATTTCGAGCACATTTGCTAGCTTATTTATAAGCATTTCAAATATATTGTATATGAATTATATCGAATCATTCGCACAATTTTTGGCACCCAGGTCTCTTATAAAGTTCAAGGACGCCCGAAAATTCCATTATGTGTATTCATTCAAGGAAATGATTTTATTAACATCTTATAAGCCGCCTGGCTGCAAGAGATTGGAACGAAAAAGATACTATAAACCAAAATTAACGCAGTTTACAAACTCTTTGCCATACCATCCCAATCCCAACACACCCTAATAGAACTGCCTAGATAACTAACTATGCAAATGATGTCATGCGAAGTTCTAGTCAGGCATTTCCTAAACTTTTGCATTATTGATTTTTGACGGCACTTGACATGAGAATTATATACATATGCTGTAATTATAATATAATTAATTCAATAAACCGGCCGTTCTTTTGGCTAATAGTCCTTAACTACGCACGCTTAGCTTAAGTAAATCCCAGTCACGCACCCAAATCCCAGATTGTCTGCCTATTCAACTCATGGATACGAAATAAAGACAAGTCAGTCGATGGCGAAAAAAATGTCGTCATAAATAATATGAAATTGATGGGATTTACGGTTGTCGGCATTTCACAGACCATGTTATGGATTCGCAAAAACTTTGTTGGCAATTAATAATAATTTTCAAATTGAACAATAATATTGACACAAGTAAGCCGGCATATATGCACTTGACTTTAACGTCCGATAATTATTTATAGACCCCAACTAATTAAGAAACGTGTGTCCGACTTACGTAGCTCGTTGATATCCCTCAAATCGCACCTGGAAGCAAACAGAGTAAATATTATTTAGTTTTTAGGCCAAATTTCGAGCAGCTCATTAGAAATTACACGAAATTAACGAATTGCGTTGTAAACTATGCTGCAATGTTGCTGGGTAAATGTGCTCGACCACAAACCGCTGCGCATTAAGTGACGCACTGTATCCCCAAATGGCTACACCTAACAAAAAAAAAGAAGAAGAAAAGTAAGAAAAACAAGACCGACAGGGAGATATTCTGTAGCCATACACAAACAGTCCGAAAGCATAAGTACCACACCAAGAAAATTATAGTCTCTGATAACTTCGGCGCTGATCGTCAGATAGTTATCAATTTTTCAGGTCTTTAAAAAAGCATTCAAATATATGTATGTACCAAAAACTGGGACTATCCTGCAATGCCTTTTCATACAGACAAACAGAGAGTTGCGTCGCCGGTTACATTCACTTGCACAGCTTCAAACTACTCATTTTGCCCCGGTCTATGTGTACGGGGTATAAAATACACCAAAGTCAACAAAAACAACAATGTATACTCTAGTCGACCCACAAATGCTCAATTTGGAGCATTTGTACTGCGTCTTTACTTTTTGCTTTCCCAGCAAACTACGAGCAACAGCCCATTGAAAGGGATCACATTACGAACTGGCAAACGCAGTTAATTTGAAAGTTTGAATATGACAGCAGACACTTGAAGTAAAACTTGAGATATATGAATAATAGAGCAATACAAGAAACAAGAAACTCAACTCCAATATTAACCCATATCATTATATCATATCATATATTTTTTTAGCAGATAGATTATATTGCCAGACCGACCAGTGCGATTCCTCATAATTGCCATGGACAGTTGGATAGCTCAACTGTCGAATTGTAATACCCCGAATAAACATAGAAATGTCTAATTGTAATACCCAGAATATTATGAGCTTTAACGCTAACCGGTTGGACACGTGTGTCTGGGGAATCGATGAACGATGGGACCGGACCTTGACTTCACTAGTGCTTCTCCCCCCGGATGATTTATGTTTAGTCAGGTATTTTCCCGACTGCTTTTGTTTTTTCTTATGTTGTAATAATTTGCAATAACAGAGAAAATAATAGAAAAGCGGCTTAGATGGTTACGTAAATATGTATTAAAAAGACACTAAGGTAAACAACAGTTTGGCTACAATGTAGTTATTTAATTTTATTTGCAATTAAAACAATTCTTTTAATTTTTATTTATTTTCTTTCCTTTTTTTTTTTTTGTTTAGTAATAGTCAATGCCCAACAATGAAAACCAAGCCGAAAATTGTAGTCTAAATAAATTCCAGTTTGATATTCGAAACGCCACTGGTTTATATTAGTCGCAATGAATACATCAGAGACACACATATGTACATGCAGACAGATGTACGGGTATGCCATAGCCATTCATTTATGTAATATAATTATTTAAAGCATCGTGGCTGTCTGCTCGGTTTGTTTACTGTTGCCTAAACCTAAGAACTTATGCATAAAACCGGCCATTTTTATTTATTATTATACAATTGAACGCCGTGTACGAAATTCGAATACTACGAACAAAGCTACGATGACAGACAACTAGGATTGCAATGGGTGTGTGTGTATCTGTAAGTGTGTGTGTGTGTGGTTGTATGCTAAGTATAATTTATATATACGAATACATATGCTATGGTGAAGTATAAAAATATATATATATATATATTTGTATATCAAGATGTTTGTATAGTTCTGTAAATCTATATGCCTGTTTAGGATTTACATGCCGAGCAGGCACTCGGAATTGCCGGTTATGTCGGCAAACTGCGCTGGCTACGCCTGCGTCACAAAGTACATCTCGCCCGAGGAGCCAACGACCACAGCATGCGTATCACCCGGCCCAGCTGTGCCGCTAAGCGCATTGGGGGCAGCCGCTATCATGCTGGACATGTCAGTGCCATTGCTGACAATGCTGACGGCGCCGCTGAATGCGGCATTTGAGCTGGTGACAATTGTTTGTGTTTCACTGCCATTGCTGCTGGCATGGTCCGTGTTCTCTACATGCTGCTGCAGATTGTCGATGTTATCGTAAAGTGTGGAGCATTCGCCGCACTTGTACAACGGGTCAACGCATTCCGGGTGCTTACGCTCCACGTGCCAGCGCAGATTGGCCGCATTGGAGAAGTTCTTGCGGCAATTGGACACACCACAACAATAGGCGCGCTGCTGATGCGTCTGCCTGTGCCTATAGAGTATCGCTTTCGATTTGAATGTGCGATTGCATATGTTGCACAATGGGGTACTCGTTTCAGCATCGTGCGTCTTCATGTGCATGCGCAGCATGCCCGGCCCCTTGAAACTCTTCAGGCAGATCTCGCACTGCGGCTGCTTCTTGCAATTGGCCCTTATCCAGTTGGTGTGCGAATGCATGTGATTCTGCAAGCCCTTGAACTGCCGAAACTCGGTACTGCACAGATGGCAAATGTAACGCCCAGAGCCCAGCGGCGATGTGTGTTGCCTGATAAATTCCGTGACCAGATTGGCATCTATCTCGTAATTATCATCGGCGCCCGCTGCTGCAATCACCGAGGCGGTCTGCACCAACTGTCGCGAATTGGATGCGGCTAGTTTGCTGCTTATAGTGGGTGGACTGTGCTGGTGGTTGCAGGGTGTCTCCACCAGTTGATTGCTATGCGTTTGCGCGTTGCCACGACGTGCGCGCTTCGCTGAACTGGGCGTGGGACTGGGCGTATTGCTGACGTGCAACGTGGGCGCGACCAAAGTATCCTGGCCAAACTCCACCACAGCATTTTCAAGTGATATGCTATGAATGTCCACGGACTGCTGTTGTTGTTGCTGGTGTTGCTCCTGCAACTCTTGCTGCTGCTGTGCCTCGACATCGATAAAGGCCTGATCAATATCGCTGGCACTGACATCGCCATCGGTCGGCTCCATAATGGCATAGTGCAGCTCATCATCCACATCACCGCCAAGGCCGTGATCCTGATCATCGGTTATGTACTCGCAATCATCGACATGCGTCATGGCATCCCCATCTACATCTCCTTCCCCATCGTCAAGCATATCTTCATCTAGTTGTATTTCCTCAATGATGAAATTGTCATCGTCGTCATCCTCGTGCTTGACGCCATCCTCGTGATGCAGCAGCTGCTCGTCAAAGTATTCGTCGGTCTCCTGCTCTTGTGTGTCGCTGTGCGTGAGCTCCTCGTCAAGTAGAACTTGATGCTGTTGTTCCTTTAGAAAATCCTGCTGCTGGTCATCGTCCAGCACAATCGTCTCGAACGTGTGATCCTTGCCATCCAATTGCTCATAGACCTCTTCTAGCTCCTCATCATCCATTTCGGCATCGTCCAAAAGCTGCACATCTGCATCTGTTAGGGAAGCCCCACTACTTGTTGTGCACATGTCCGTTGTGGTCGTCGTTGTGATCGCCGGCGCCATGCTACGCTGCGGCACCAACTGCACCAGTTGGAGGGTCTGTGTGCCGTTCGGCTGCTGGACAATTTGCAGCGTTTGGCCATTGGGCGCCTGCAGCAACTGTGGCAGGAATTGTGCCTGTGCTGAGGCCGTGGCGTTCGTTGTCGTCGTTTGCGCGCCGATAATCTGCGCCAGCTGCGGCGTCACAATTTGCGTCGTTATGAACTGGCCGTTCGGCAAGAGGATTTGCTGTGCCGTCGTTGTTGGCATAAGTTGCGCAGGCGCCGGCTGCAGCGTGGGTAACTGAATCTGTTGTATCTGCTGTTGTTGCTGCTGGGTAACTAATTGTGGAGGCGGCGGCGGTGGCGCAGGCTCAGGCAACAACTGTACCACATCTTGCTGTTTCTTCGACTGCCGTGAAGTTCCTTTTCGCAGCAGCGGCTTCAATTTGTTTTTGGGCTATTTGATAATTACAAAAAAGTCGATAAATGTAAATTGGCTAAGGAATTGCGCGGGGATTTGTACCTTCTGTTGTTGTTGTTGTTGTTGTTGTTGTTGTTGTTGATGCTGCTGCTGTGGTTGCTGCACCAGGAATATAGACGACTGTTGCTGTTGTTGCTGCTGCTGTTGTTGTTGCTGTTGCAGCTGCTGCTGCTGCTGCAAAATTTGTTGTTCAAGTTTCTGTTGCTGCTCCTCAAGCTGCTGCTGCTGCTTGAGCTGCTTTTGTAACAGCTTTTGCTGTTTACGCTCTTGCGGCGTCAGCGACTCATCCATCACCATGCGTACCGTCAGGCTTTTAATATATTCACGTAGTTCCTTGTCGCTGCGCTCGACGAGCGACTTAAATGCATGATTTCGACTGACCGCATGGACACATTGCACGCAGATTTTATCTGGCCAGCCCTCGGTAGGCTCGACGCGCACGCTGGTGCAATCCATAAGCATTTCGGGTACTTTTTCGCTAAAAAGTGGACGCATTTCCTTGCGCTCCGAAATGCATAAGCGACAGATTTTGTCCAATTCAAGCACCTTCTTGCGGTCCATCATGACGTTAGCTTGACAGTACACTTTAAGTGCAGTTTTCTTCTACAACACATTGAGATATGTTAAACTTGTTGCTTGCTTCTATGATAATCCTAGCCAAAGGCAAAAATGTATGAGAACTTTTTGATAAGCGTTATTTGAAATTTGGCGCTTAAGAAACTCTGGCAGCGCTGGAGCTTGGTCAACGCTCTGGCAACTCACCGCTAGCGGTGCAAGCAGGATGGCTATACAGCCGACACGACACGACGACGACGACAACTAGTTATACACAATTTAGCATCCTGGTATTGGTGCGAGCGAAAAATCATATTTTAACTACTTTCGCAGCTAGCGACACAAATGTTTTTTATATTTGTAAACTTTATATTTACACCAATTATTCGATTAGTTTCTCATACTTTTTGCACTTTGGGTCAAGATTTTTAAGAGCACAATCCAGCGTTTGACTTACCCAAGCAGTATTTATGTAATTTAAGTGGCCTCCCTTCGTCTTTGCACTGCATTCGATATTAATTATTTTTAAATATGGCCGCGTCACACAATTCCCGAGCGAAAAACCCAATTATTTCACATTTTAAGCACTGAGCGCGAGTTTGTTTTGAAATGATGCGAAACAAAAACAAATGCGGCACCAGTTGGTTATTCTGGCAAGTAAATGAAATAACTAGACTTCTACCAGTGCCAAATTAATAAAAATTCAATGAATGAAATTTCCGTGCAAACGCAATGGTGCTGTTTCTGCTTTTGTCTTCTTCTGTCGACTGCAGAATGCGCGAGGCAGCTGAAACGACGTGAAACGACGATTACCCACACATTCGTGTCACACATATATAGCTCTCTTTTTTTGTTTCGCCCCGTCGTCTGCTTGTGTGAGTGAGATATGCGTATGTGGCGTGGCCATGGCCCGGGGCTGCCAACTCGACCAGACAAAAATACACCAAAATTCGGGCAGAAAACAAACAACAAATACTTATACACATGCAAACGCTTTGTGTTAGCAGAATAAAACGTTTTGTGCGATTAAGATAATTTGCTAACAGATTGACAATAACAATTTGTTATTATTTGAAGAACTTAATTACTTACCTAAATGTGTTTAAATAGTGGCAGCCCGCGGATTTCACATTTCACAACACGCACGAAAACTTTCAAAACTGCGCTGTGCCTTGCGCTTTTTGCGACTTTTTGTCGTCCGGACTTGCTTTTTTTTTTATAGCTTGGCACATTTAAAAATATGCAAATAATTTTCACCAAACACTAACTTGATTTTACACACCCACGTAACAGCTGCGCCGGGTACGAATACTTTAAGGACTGTCATGCCATGATGGAAGCTTTTGGTAAGGTGCTGTTAAAACGGGCGTCATTTCAGCTGTGCGAAAAGGTGACGTCACAAGTGCAGTGTTTTAACATTTAGCATAATCGATAAGAGTATGTTAATAACAGGGTAGCTGTTTATTAATCAGCTGTTAGATAGCGGTTAACGAAAATCTTGCAAAACAAGGAAATATAAAAAGTATTGTTTAAATTCAGAGAACTGTTACTTTAATTCTTGAAATTTCATGTTGGGAACAAATGTAAAAGTTGCTTACTTCTAGGCGGAGCTTGCGAGCTTGTTGCTAGTGTTGGCAAGCTCGTATTTTTGCCTCTCCTTGGTCTTTTTGTTGTAGACGCGGACAATGCCATACACTAGGGTAACTAGGAGTATACCAAACAACAGGCAACTGATCACAAACCAGGGATAGAAAGAGGAGCTGCCCCCCTGCTGCTCTTCCGCCTCCCATTCCCTAAACTCCATGGAGCCATTTGCACTCATTCTGGCTGGCGCAGCAGCCATGTCCTGGAACAGTGACGCCTTGGCCAGATTATCGGATTCGGGCGCCTCAAATGCCGGCTCGGTGCTGTCGATACGAACAAACGTTAACCGGACTCCCGCAATTGGTTGCTTATAGCGCATCAGGCCATGGCCATAGTATTCGTAGATATCGGCATTAAGCTCACGATGCTGATCAACCCACTGGCCAATTATATCCACCTTCACCTCGCTGCGGGCATCCATTGTGCGTCCGTAGTAGGACTGCTCCTGCACATCCAGGCCGCCCACACCGTTTGCATCCAGCTCCAGTACAGAACCGCGATGCTCCATCAGCAGCGGCAGCTGCTCGAGTTTCTCGTGCTCATAAATACTGCTTGTGTTGACCCGAATCTTCTCCACAAACGCATAGCTAAGGCTGCCATAGATGGGTTTACGCTGTGCACTGGGATTCTTAAGCATTCCGCTGCCCAAACGCATTTTATAGCTGTTGGTCACATTGCGCCATGGCAGATACGTGATGTTGCGCAGCTGGTACATCAAAGGCTGCAGCTCCACCAGCACATTTATGTTATCCTCAATGCCATACTGCAATATGAGCAAAAGTTAAATAAGGCAGAATTCTGTGTATAGTGTTGCCAATTCAGCTATTTGCTAGCTACATTTGGCTATTTTCAGAAGTCGTTGAAATTGTTTAAATCTTTAACTGATTTAGCTATTTTTCAACTCTCTTTAGCTATTTTTAACATTGACTTTACCGACTATTTGGGATCGGCAATTGGCAACATTGGTGCTCTAGTCGGAAATGCCCGACTAGCAGATACCCAGTTGGAAGCTGTATGCGCAGCTACTTACAAAGTTGTCCTCGAATATCATGACGACGCATGTAAAGAGGTTGTCCATCACATTGTTGACCAGATCCGTGTGCCTGAAGTGACACAGCTCAGTCTTTTCCCGCTCCACATTGGTCGCCTTGGCTATGTAGCTGAGGCGCTCCTTGGGATTCAGTTCAGCTGCATAATTCTGCAGCATGATCTTGTATGGTACCCAGGCTAGCATTGTGCTGGCATTTCCATTGCATATGTCACGCTGGGCACCACGTCCATTCAGCTCACCGTTGTGCAGTTTGAAGAAGTGATGATTGCTGCGTTTTATTGTTGTCGAGCCGTGATCCGCGCACATGGTGTCAACGAGGCTTTCCTACGGATTAATCAAAACGCAAAATACTTGATTTGCCACTCACATAAATAATTTTCTTATCTGTGCTGTGCACATTATCTTGCCATAGACACTTTTCCCGTTTCCTCGCTTTCTTTATCTCACCTAATTGAATTAGGAATATAAAGGAATATAATTGAATTAGGAACATAATCTATAATGCCCATATATATACAAATTGTCTATGAATCAAGGGCCTTGAAATAGTCATTTAAGGATTTTTGCGACAGTCAACACGTTTTCATTGATTGTCCAAACGAAATCGACTTAAGCTCAGCTGATTGATGGAATGTCATATAAGGCAGCGAACTTTAAAGACCATGTGGATAGCTTAAAATGGGAAAATTTTTAAATATGTTGTAAATGTATCTTTAGTTGATTGACATTGCTTTGAATATGAATGTTCTCAGACCGAAATGTTATCGTGGTGGTATTTGAAACACCCGAAAAAAACACAAAAGCTAGAAAAGAACTTAGCAAAGAACTACAATTCCTATTTGAACCTACCTTCTCCTTGAGCGTCAACGTTGTGGCTGTTATATGACAATTGGTATCCTTGTCGCTATCAATGACCACATGACGACCTATGTCAGTCAAGAGCAACGGTTCCGTTTCTATGCAGAAATCCGCACGTTCCTGAAACGCCCGGCAATATGTGGAAAGGAGCAAGATCCACGTTACAAGCGCTACAAATGTGAGCATGTGCATGGTTTAACTTTGAGTGGACGAATTCTTAAGTATTCCGCCGTTGATACGCGCGTCGTCGATGACAAATCGTAACTGAAATTCGCAATTGCAAGTAGTAAGTTATTTTGGTGATCGCCGTCGTTCAATCAGAAGCATTCAACTTGACCGCGAAAACCCGATAAATACCGAACACAGCCATATAACCATATTTATCTGTGGCTGAAGGATAAACTTGAGCGATTCAATTGTGGACATACGAGCAAATCTCATAGCCAAACAGGTGAATTGATTAACATTGACCAAAAGCGCCTGGCCTGCGCGTCATTTCACAATTCGAATCCGAGATAAGATAAAAACTAAGCACCAAAAAGCTACTCAACCACCTCGTTCTGATTAGCGGACGCCTATATCGTTATGTTTCCAAACATTTTGTTTACAACAATAAATAAGTACAGTTCATTTTAGGGAACGGGCACAGATACATTGTATGTTTATGTGAATGTTACAATAGACAAAGGCATAACATTTTTAAGTGCGATATATGTAAAAAACAAATCAATTGGGAATTAAAAATTGTCCTGTATTATTGGTTAGTATCTAAAAGCCATCAGATGACCGAAATCTACAATTCATATTGGAGTGAAATATTGTTTTTTGAATTTGTTTTAGGCACTTGCGTCAGCATTTTCGAAAAATAAATGTGTAAATCAAAATCATCAATTCTCAAGTACAGCATATAACAATGTGTTCTTATGTGAACGAACTTATGCTACTAGCACTTGTTACATTATATTAATTATTTATTTATAGAAAAGTATATAATTTTAATAAACTCTGTACACTTAGAAATTGTTGAACAATTTTCTTGTTTCATTTTTTTCTTACATTTGCTTATTGCTCTTCAACAGATATTTTTTTTTTGTGTTTTGGGGCTTTTTTAACATTGTAATTATTTGTACAAACTTTAACATAAAATAAAATTTAATAAACAGCTAACGAAACTAAGCGATTGTATAGCTTATGCTGAATAAGGGGGACAAATCCGATCTCGACATGCTGAAAATAAGTAGTTCATTTGTGAGAATATAAAGAAACGTGCTAAGAATTCGAGCCAAGGCAGCGAAAAATAGTTGGTTCTAGTCGACTGGGCTTTTCTGGACTGTTCTGTACGGGGCGTTTTATTCTGGGGATAAAGATAAGACAATTTAAATGCATGCTGGGTTAAAGGAATGTGAATAACATTTACCATCGCTACTGGCATCGCCTTCGAAGTCGATTTCATCGACATTGGATATAATTTCAAGATCGTCGTCATCGTCATCATCACCGTCATCCATATCGCTATCATTATCATCATCACTGGAGGAATCAAGATCGATAAAGTTGCGATTGCGGTGGCTGCGTAACGGGAAACCCAGAAAATTTGGACCTATGGCAAATACTATGGCAAGTAGAGCATAAATTTGATGATAGAAGATCTACGCCTGGGCACTTACCGTTATCAGAACCGGTATCCGAACCCGTCTCGGAGCCCTCCTCATTGGATTCGGGCAATTCCTCATCATCTTCCTGCAAGCATAGACATAATATTAAATTCAATATCATCCATCTGCCGCATGAGCGTTCTGAGATCGATTGGCGCACCGCCGGCACCGCCCAGTGTACGTGCTCGCCGTCGCACACCAACAATTGAGCTGTTGGGCGCATGCTGGCGAGCCAGATTTGAATTGGCATGTGACGGTAGCCTTAGCCGGCTTGGACGACGAGCGCGTGCCTCGTCGTCGTCGGCACCACCAACACCAATGCCAACTGCGTCAGCGTCAGCATCAAGCAAAGCTAAGTTTGGCGCTGGCGTATGGGGGCGTGCCACCGCCTCTTCGACGATGCGAATCAGCGCAGAGTCACCGTTTGGTGCATTGGCGGGCGGTGGCGGTTCCTCGGACGCGGACGCGCCGCCTCTAACGACACCCTCATCGACGGCCAGGTCCTTAACCGCACGCACCTCTTCCGACCGCTCGCTCTTTTTAACGCCCACGGCATAGATCTTCACATAAGTCTCCTGCTTCGAATCATAGCCGCTGTGATCCTCCACAACAGCAATTAAGCTGCCATTTGCACTAACGCTCAGATCGTTAATGTTACGCTTCACATCGATGGTCGCAATGCTAGAATAGTCGTACGCATCCAGAACATTAAAGCTAGTATCATAGGTGGTTGTCTCCATGTCATGGTCTCTATCAGCGCCTAAACTAGCGCCATATATAACATGCATTGGTGAGAACGTGCAATTGCGCTGATCCAGCACCGGCACCGTCTGTAGCAGATGAAACGTGCGCAGATCCCACACCTCCGTGTTGGCTATAATCTGCAAAATAAGACGATTTAAGAACTGAGAAAGTTATAGGTAGAAGGCAACGCTTACCTCTAAGCAATTGGGGTGAAACACGCCCGAAATGCATTGATTAAACTTGTCGAACTTGTGAATTTCCTTGCCGGAGCGCACATCCCAGAGCACGCCATCTGCAAGCATTGAAATAGAAGAGACTGTATACTACTTCGGCTGCTGGACTCACCTGAGAGTAGCAACTCGTCGGTGCGGCAGAGGGTAGCGCGATTCTTAGTGTACTGATTTGGTATGGTGGGCGTAAACGTGGATACCTTGGAGCCCGTATTGATGTCATACAGCACCGCGCACTGTAGAGGCGAAATAAAATTGGTTAGCATTTAATTAGATTAGCAGCAACAACTAATTCAAACGAACATCGGTGTGTGTGCCCAGTAAACGATCCTGCGTGGTTTGGCTAAATTCACAGTAGCCGACCTCAGGTAGACGCAGTTTGGAGCGGAACTCGTTGTCGGTGATGGACCACAAAATGGTGGTGCGTAGGCGCCAGAGACTAGTGGTCAGCACCAGACCACCGGCGCGATTCGCCTGAATCGCATCCACGCCGTAAGTGTGGCATATGGAGGAGAATTGCTCGACGCCATCATTCATGTTGAACACCTTGCTCTCGCCTTGGTGCGTGCCAACGATCAGGTAATTTCCCACAACGTCACAGCATGTGAACTCCAGATCATCATAGTCGGCGGAGCGCATGGTGCGCCAGGGCGCAAAATGTGTGTGCACGTGACGGCGATCGAAGCGTGCGGTATTAAAGCCAGCTTGGGTGCGAAAATGCCTGGAGGTAAGATTATAATTGGAACTGACCAGACGACTGGGCCGTGGATCGGGGCATTTGTGCGGCTCGTATAGATCAAACTGCGGACAGGTGGTAACCGGATTGTTGCACAGCGAATGCTGATTGGTTAGATACTCTGTTACAATGCTGTTGAGTGTTACGCGTTTTGGATGCAGCGCTGGCGAGATAGTGAGTTCATCTGGCAGGCCCACAGCGGTCGACTCTACGTTGGCCAAACTTATCTGCTTTTGCAGCGAGCGTGTGACCGAGGATGTGGCACGCTCCGTCTTGCGTAGCTTAATGGGTGTCTGTGCACTGAGGTAGCTAAAGTTGGGCACGCCCATGGTAGTAGACGCTGCGCCCGCCATTGATGAGGAGGTGCCAATGCTGGAGCTGCAGTGTGGTGACATATCCTCCGAAAGACTGCGATTCTGGTCGCCACTGGACATAATAGCCGCATGGACATCCTGCATGCGACTACGCAAACGACTGCGTGAAATTGAACTCAAGCCGGCGAGACCTTTGTAGTCGAAGGGCGACTGATGGAAACTGCGGGTCGTTGTCGTCTGCAGGGGCAGACCAACCTCACGCTGTAACATCTGAGCCGTTTGGCTCAGACCCTTGCTCTCCAGATGCTCAAAGATGAGCTGATACAGCTGCTGTTCGTTGTATTGAATTCGCGTCTGGGCAATAACGTTCGCCTTGTGCATGTTAGTCAGCGATGGATCTAGCGGATTGTTGAGCGGCTTTGTCTTGCCCGAGATGCGCTCGAGCAGTTCCAGTGCATACTTTTGGAAAATCACATGTTCGGCTCGCTTCTCTTGCAGTATGGGATCACGCATCAACGCCTGCAACTGTCCGCTGGCAAATAGCGGAAGTTTGCCCACAATTTGACGAACACGATCGGAGCGTGCCAGGCCAGCCAAGGCGCGGCAGGCCATTCCGCGTATGCAGTCGGCATCCGTGATGGGTCCCTTCGTTTGCATAAGCGACAACAACACCACAATACCATTGTTCGAGCACACGGACTCCCACACCTTCTCGATCAGTTCCTCGGCATATTTCTGGTTCGCCTTGTTTTTTCGTGACGAGTTGGCAAACTTCATCAGACTGCTGCTCCCGCTATCCTTGCGTATTATGGGCGAGCACACACAGTGGCAGAGCACGGCCAGCGCGGATTTTAAGACCTCAGCGTCGGCTGTGATCTCGCCGGCCGCTGCGCCTAGCACCGAACAGAACCCGGACGTTGTCGTCTTATCTGGCATTTGAAGGCGTTCGCAGAGCACCAAATATACGCGTGGTATCACACAGCATACGCTTAGTACGTCCAGGGCCGAGCGCACCGTCTCCGAACGGCCACTGTTCACCCAGTCGTAGCTAAAGGCAATGATGCGCAACAGCAAAGTAATGCCGCCCAGCTTCATTAGCTGATCCACGGGCTCCCAATGGCCACGCACCGATGTGTGCTCCTGCAGCGTACGCAACTGTTCGTGCAGCTGATCGAATGTCAGTTTGGCGGCCACTGTTGGCTGCTGACTGAAGTAGTGGGTCGAGGAGGACGATGATGTTGCATAGTGCTGGCAGAGAAAATTGTTGTACTTGTAGAAGAAATGCGCCTCCATATAGCGTTTCATTGCTATGCAAACATGTCGCACCATCTGACGCGAAGCGCACTCCACATCCTCGTTAATATCCGAGCCGTTATCGCTGTCATTGTGACTGGGATCCAAAATTTTCAACACCGATATCTGTTGAAAACCAAAAACAAATTATTATCTTTAAACTTTGGCAGCCAAAAAAACGGTTTACTTACAACATTGTAGAGCTTGCGCAGGCCATCCTGCGAGTCAAACTCATCCAGTATGGCCTTAAACTGAAAGCTTAGGCTGAAGAACATGGTGGCATGGCATTTGGAGGAATCATGACAGCGCCCGAGTATCCACAGTGCATAGCGCACCAGATTTGATATCAATGGACGCGGCATGCTGCATATCCGCTCCATGGCATCCTCACAGTAAGCCAAATAGTAGATGGCTATGGAGACGCCTGTTGTGGCCAGACTGGGCCGTGGCACATTCAACAGCAGCTGCAAAAATAAACAAATTGAAAAGTGCAACTATTAAGATATTCAATTTGGCTTACCTCCAGGCCGCCGCGCGATATGAACTCCAATGCGAACTTCTTGTGGCAGAGAAGCGAGGCTAGATATTTGAGGACCTCGTACGCCAAGCAAGTGTCGCGCCTGTCTAGCTCTTCGAGATGACCAAAGATCAGTGCCATAACATTATTACCAAATGCCATGGCCAGAAACTCTTGGTACTCGCCGAGACTGGTTAGAAAGCGCAAAATCAGCATCTGACTGGTGTCCGCTGTTGGCGGATGCAGTGGTATATACATGCGCTTGTAATACCGCGACAGTGGAAACGCATCGCGGCTATTCTCAAACAAAATAGACATATTGGAGGCACTCCCGCTGGCGCCGTTATGCTGCGGCGACTGCGGCGCTGAGGCAGCGCCACAGGCCATCCAGCTAAGCATGCCTGGCGAGAAACTGCTGTCCGCCGAGTTATTGAGTGAGGAGCTTGGCTCTGTTATTGTTGTGTTTTTACTCATGCGACTGCAGGCAAGCAACAGGTGCAGGCGGTTAATCATCTTGGGCACCAAGCGCATATTCTGTTCCCGGCAAGTTATCGCAATATCGCTCACCTCCATCGCAGCGGCCAGCAGCCCGGTGGCATAGCTTTGCAGCGGCTCAATGCTGTCCTCCGCCCAGTTGTAGAGACGATTAATGATACCATCCTCCTCAGCTGTCTGAAAAACTGCCGTCGTCTCAAGACCTGGCATTACCACTAATATTAAACGGCAGGCAATTATATTCAACTCCAGTGAGCTGCGACTTATGTTCTGGCGACTAAAATAGTTATCCCGCAGATAATCGTTGAGCAGCTGAAAATATGATAAGTAAATTTTAGATGCACCGAAACCAATTGCTTATAATTACTAGAATGTAGTTTATATATAAAAACAATCTTGTCCAGACTGGCTGGTGGCCAACGGACAGCTTACACCATAAGAATTACTGAAACTTTTTTTTTGGGTACAGGGTGAGCAGTAATGCGGGGTTTTGGTAATTACAACAGCCTCGTTGCTGTCATATGAACGATGTTTTCGGTACGAATCTCCGTAATGACAAAATATATGTTTCTGCCCCGGGCGACGCCGGGCAATTTTTTCAAGTAATTCATAAAGTTTACATAGTTTTCTGTGTGCCATACCTTGCCCATGAACTGATCCTTGCGAAAGAGCAACTTCAGCAGTAGACCATATTGGCAACTGGGATCGGTGCGATAGGGATGTCTTAAGTCCAAAGGATCTGGATCCTTGCGCATATATGAATCCTTCTCACGCTCAAATATTTCAGCTAGACTGCAATTATCATATATATATAATTATATATACAAGTTTAGCTAAAAGTATAGCTTGGGCTCACCTTCTCAGTGTGGGCACTGGATCGTAGCCGTTTTGTGTTTGTTCTTGCTCCCATTTGTCAATTATTTGGGTAAGCTCTTTTTTTGTGGCCGACCGTCTGTCCGCGGCAGGATCATCGTCAGCATTAGCATTGCCAGCATCATCCGCAACGCTGTCATCTTCGGCGGCAGCCGCGCCCTCGCCCTCACCCTCACCATCAGGTTCAGGCTCAGCGTCAGCCTCAGCTTCAACTTCAACTTCTGCACCAGCCTCCAGTGAATTTCCCACGTTTTGTGCTTCAGCTTCCTCTTCCGCTTGTATAGCTTGATCCAATGCATCCACCGAACTCTCGTCACTTTGGTAGGCAGCCGCAAATACAACATTATCCAAGGCTGCATCATTTAATGCTGCACCACTGGGCATTTCAGCATCGTCTTCCTCCTGCGCCGCGGCATTCGCATTGTTATTCGGATTCGACATTCTTAGAGCGGCCCACGAGGCGAGCGTTCGACACTAGCTCGTTGCGGTGCGCGCCAATTTCTTGATTTCAGCTGATAACACACGTTGCAACTCCGATTACTGCTTATTTATATATATATATATATAAATATATATTTATTTAGTACGATTGAGTTTATTAATATGCAAATCCGCTGCCGCTTAACCACGCGCTTCTCTTTTTTGCCAATGAATTAGTGTGACCGTGTGCCTTAGAGAGGAGCGATATATGAGTCTTTTTACATGAATCGCAGAAAAATCGAAGTTGAGTCACATATGTGAAATGTTGCAGTCAGCTTCCACTGTCTTAAAATCTCGCCAATATATAATTAAACAAAAATAAATAGCATATGATAGCATATTGTTTGAAAGTAATTGCCATTGTATAAATTTAATTTTATGTCTTTGAAGAAGCCATTGGCACAAGTTAGGAACTACTTATTGAGCAAGTGAATTAAACCATCCCATTGACTGGGTGGCAACGCTGTCGGAAATCGCCGCTTATCGTTAACGTTATTGATGCGTCGCGTCATTGTTTTGTTTTGGCACCTCATCAACTCACCTTATTGATATTTAAAAAATTATGGGTTTTCTATTTATACTCAGTTGGATATCATTAGCTATACAGATCACCTTCATGACACTCTCTATAGGTATGTTATCAGAATCTGATTACGTGCACCCTAACACACGCCTATTTCCAGTCGCCGGACTTTACTATCTGGCTGAATTGGCGGAGGAGTACACAACGCCAGCACGACGTTTTATTCTATTTATGATAAGTTTCACAATTATCGTATATATAATGCTTATTTTCTTTGAGGACTTTTCGTGGACCATGATGTCGTGTGGTCTAGCGGCACAGGCTTTTCATTTCAGTATAATGACTAATTTCCCATTCATCCAATTGCTTTCGGTGTCTTTTATTGGCTCGTTGGCGATGCTGGTGATTAATCATGTGCTCGCATTTCAGTATTTTACCAGCGTCTATGTTCCTTTTACACAGGTAAGCGTCTAGAGATCTAGCAGCAACTTGTACTTTTAAGCAAACGACTATTTTTTTTTAAAGGTACTCGCCTATTTTACTGTCTGCTTGTGGATGGTTCCCTTTGCACTCTTCGTCTCACTCAGCGCCAACGACAATGTGCTGCCCACAACGATTAGCACCAATGAGCGACGTTTGGGCAGCAGTAATCCCGATGTGGTCAGCAACTACTTTTCGCGCAACAAGAAGCTTGGATTGCTCTCGTTTTTTAACTATATTAAGGAGACGTTGCTGCCGGGTCGCAGCAAGAAATCATTTTAGGCAGACACCAAAGATCTTGAGAATCGATTGGCATAGTTCCTTGTAAAGGAACTCAAGATCCTTTAGTTATTTATTTTGTAATATACCCCTTTAACAAAGTGTAGAAGTATTAATATGAACATGTGAATTGCATTATGCAAACTGCTATTCCAAATGAGATCTATCTGGTCTGCACCTTGACAGTGCCATCTGCCATGCCAAAGTAACATTTGTTTGCCATGTCCACAAACAGACCAGTCTCCAAGACACCTGGTATCATGGATATTGCCAGATTTACCTCGTGCCAATTGTATTCGCGTTTGGCAACAAATCTCCAGTCCAGCAGAAAGTTGCCATTGTCGGTGACAATTGGGCCGGCCTTTTTCAAGGCAATGCGCAGCTGCGCCTCGCCCCCGAAGAGCTCCTCGATTTTCAGCTTGATTGGGACATAGGCCATGGGGGCGACCTCAATAGGTATTCCTTTGCACCATTGCTCGCCTAGGCGCAGAGATTTCTTAGTGTAGTCCGCAATGATTATTACACTCTTCGCGCACGAGGCAACAATCTTTTCCTGCATGAGGCAACCTCCGCCGCCTTTAATAAGCACCATACCGCTGTCGACCTCGTCGGCGCCATCAATATATACGTCGATCCGGCAGTTGCGATCCAAATCGCCCAATGTTAGATTATGATCAAGTATCAGCTTACGCGCCTGAAACGATGATGGCACACAAATCATGTCGGAGAGGGCGCCCTCTTTCCACACGCGTTCCGCAATGCGATCCATGACAAATACTATGGTCGAACCGCTGCCAATGCCCACCACTTTGGTCTCTTCGGTCACCCACTGGTCAACGGCAGCGCGTGCCGCTAGCTTCTTGGCTGCATCCAGAGCAATATTAGAGTCCATATTGGAGCAGAATGTGCGTCGTAAGGCTGTTGCTTGCAAATCGATGCCCGATCTTTTTGCAATTGAGATGAAATGTGGTAAGTGCGGTTGCAGTAAACCTCGGCACAGTAACAAGGGCTTCAACATGTGCTTTAACAACTTCAATGTGACCCGGCTTCAGTTTGACAAGTAAGTTCTCACTGCAATGACACTAGCTGAAAATTATTTTTCAATACAAGTCTTTTGTTTTACAGTCTGCAGCAATTTGCCTTAATTCTGGCTACTTTCAGCAAATGTTTTTAGAGCATAATCTAAGTGCTGCTAAGCTTTTATCGATTATTTCTGAAGTAAAATATCGTATGAAATCATCGCGGCAACGCAGCATTGCCATTACTTTTCAATGGTTGATGCATTTTTTAAAGCAAGGGATAGGGGAAATTTTGATTTAATAAAATGCTAATTGTGTTGATTTGCATTTATTTATCAAATTATATGTGATCGATTAATACAATTAGGAAAAATAACATTTTCCGATTAAGTTTGTGGCTGCATGAGCTTCTGCAACAAATTGAATGTAACAATCTTCGGCGCAAAGAAGCCACCGAAACCTTTATTTCCCTTATGATAGATGCCAAGGCCAGCAATTGGCATTGCTGGATTGGTCACAACGTCCTGTATATCGATAAAGGGTACGGTGCTCTGTGCGGCATCCATGTCCATGCTGCTGCTTATAAATTCCATAAATTGATTATTTTTCGATAATGGTACAGATTTAACTGTTGTTTTGGTCGGCTTATTAGGGTTCTTCAGTAGGAGCTTCTGGCGTGGTTTATCCGCATTGTTGCCCAGCCAAAAGCTGTTTACCTCCGGATTCAGTAGACGTCCTGTGGTAAAGTTGAAAAGGCTAAAGCGCACCTCCAAATTGAGATGCTTGTCGATGACACGAAAACGGGCGCCCGTAACCACAAGGGAGTCATTTTTCGCGGTTATCTCATCCAAATCCAGCGAACGGCTCCCAAAGGTGAGCTCATGATAGTCAAAGCCGTTCCGTATGTCCACGTGGTTGACATCAAAAGACTCCAGTGGTATCCAATCCAGTAAGGACTGATTAATTAAACCACCTGGCAACAGTTCGCCTTGCTGCAACTGCAAATGGAAGATACGTTGATCCTTTATAAATCGCGCTCCAGTGACAATCTTATTCTGGTGAAAATCGGAGAGTGTATCGCGCAAGCTAAAGAAGCGATCGGACTGCGGTCCCGGCTCGTCACACAGACAGAAACAATAGTCACAACGCCAGACGAGATAAAACGGCCAGGACTTCACCCGATTAGAGCCGCGTGAGCACACCAAGTTCTGGATGCCGTCTTCATCAATGTTCAGCAAGCGACCATTGTCATAGTGTATAAACTCGTAGCGACGCGAACTGTTTTCGTAGGATTGGCAAACGTCACAGTCGGAGTCAATGAAGCGACAGCTGTGCACGCGTCCGGCACATTTTGGCTGATCATTACAGAATTTGTCTTTCTGGCAACCGGTGACGCGCACGTCCTGGTAATCCTCGCAGGATTGGAAGCAATTCGACTCAGTATTAAGGTTTATCTCATTCTCTACGTAGCCCTGCATTAAGCGTGTGATCTCGTCGTATGTCTTGCCTAGCACATGCTCTCGCGGCTTGGGATCACAGCGCCAATAGATGCGTCCAGTGTACGTCAACACCTGCCGTAGAACCTGCTGAGAGTGCTGCATGCGTTGCTGGTATTTGCTACGCATTAGCAACATCTCCTGGGTAAAATTACCCAATCCAAAGTCACTTAAGACCATCCATGAGAATTCCAGCATGATGTAGCCCTTAATCTCAATTAGCACTGCCTTCGTGTACATATCATATGCGAATTGCTGTGGTGATCGATTTGAGGCGCATAATTGCTCCACGTCTGATTCATAGCTGGACACCAGCTTAGCGAACAGCGATTGGGTGGCATTATTTTCGGCTTCACCGTAAATGTAAGTATGCAGCATCTCCAGTAAGTAGCCAATAGAGCTGGGTCCCGGTTCAACCGTCCACTCGGCAAAGTTACGCAATGTATAGGGATTCACATTCTCCTTGTATTTATCATAGTCAATCATATCCCGATAGCGTTGTAGAATGCTTCTGGTTATATCGCCCACATAGGTCATCTTGTGGGTTAGCTCAGACTCGGCGTGAAATTCACGTTTCAGCGTCTCAATTGTCATGGTAAAATATTCCGCCTGTTTTTCCTCGAAATTACTTATCTGATTGTTGACCTGTTCAATGGAGCTCATTATTTGACGTTGATTTTCATTCATTAGCGGTATATCATTGCTGCTGCCCAAGGGCAGATATTCTATAAGATCCCAGGCCTTAAGTAGGATGCTCGGCACCTCGTCGATTAGTTTGATTATGTCAATTACATTAGAGCTGGCCACTCTCTTGACAGACATCATCTCAAATAGTAAAATCAAAAACAGCATCCCTATGCTAAAATGGAGTCGCATTTCGATGTTGATTTCTAAGTGCTGAAAATTATATCATTAAAGTTTTCTGCCTAGTAAGCGCGCTTTGTTCTGTATGGACATACATACATGTCAGTGTATAAAATTACTTGAATTTCAGCCACTAAAAATATGTTTATTTTATTTTTGTTTATTCACAAAGTGCCGCCTCAACGCTTACGTCCGATCTGTTCGCTGGACTATCTGGCTTTGATACTGAGCAAATTGCAATGCAAACTTTAAATTATATGTATGTATATTGGAAATAGGCTTTTGTTCCTACTTATGTTTGGATGTGTTGTGTATAGAGAGAGATAGAGAGAGAGAGAGAGAGAGAGAGAGAGAGAGAGAGAGAGAGAGAGAGAGAGAGAGAGAGAGAGAGAGAGAGAGAGAGAGAGAGAGAGAGAGAGAGAGAGAGAGAGAGAGAGAGAGAGAGAGAGAGACTTACATGCACACAACACACACACACTCACACACACACACACACATATGTGTGTATATAGGTAGCGTCACAAATTAGAGCTGGTAATTCGAAAGAGGATCGTTGAGATGGGAACAGCCTTGTCGATGGTGTAGGTACAGTGAGTAAAGATTTTGGGAATGTTTAAAGTAACAATTTGCTCGACTTTAAGTTTTGAGGTCCGCTGTCGAATCTCAATAGTGGAAAAAACTATTTTACTAATATTATTATCGATAATAATAATAAAATAATCGATAATAACAATAAGTAATACATATTTATATACGTGCGTCAAATTAGCGGCGGTGACTTAGCGTCGAATTTTGGTACTTGTTATCGGAAAACTATCGGTCACTTTCAAATGCATTTATTTATGTTTTTAAGCACGAAACCAAATAAATTTAAATGCAGAATTGCAAAAAATTAAATTATTTACTATCTACATTCATTTATTTTTGAATTTTAATTTTTAATATGGGTAAACAAAGGGGTTGAAAAGTTAGGTTTTCGCCATTCTTTAAATATCTTACTTCAGGGATAATGGCCCCGAAAACCGCATATACACGATTGAAGTCTATAGTTTCAGCTATCCAATAGTGAAAAAATTATAAAAATCGATCAGCACGTTTTTAAGATATTTGTACTACAGTGCAGCAACCTCGTTGCTAGCCCCATACAAAATGACCGTAAAAAATCACCCTTGCACTTGAACCCTAATAACTTTTCTCAGGGATAATGGCCCTCAATGCACGTTATACCAACTTGAAGATACATGTTTAAGGAAGCTTTACGCATTAATTCTACGCAAATCGATCAGCCAGTTTTTTAGAAAAATGGCAAAATGTAAGCACACCTCATGTTGTTCATTCAAAATGCCTATCGAGCTACTAGCTCCAACGGGAACCGAACCACTGCTCGGAATCAGTGTTGAACAATGTTATAAAGTATTGGGCGGGAACAAATTAATTCAAAATACTTGTATATGACAGAGAAATGCAGTAATATATAAAATAATTGTCATTTTACAATAAAACATTATCTTTGGTAAAATAGACTGCTGCAAAAGACGACACCTATGCATTTAAGTATTAATGCACGTATAATAACGAAAAGGTGGCAATATTTCAACCTATATTATTCTATTTCTCCGATAATGGCCCCAAATGCACGGTAGTTTAACATATAGATCGCGAATTATCAATCATTTTGCTTTTTACATCAAGAAAATCGTCCAGCCAGTTTTAGAGAAATTCGCATTTTTCTAGTTTTTTCTAGCCAGCTAGTTTTTTTTGCATAACAGAGGGTATAATAAGAAAAATAGAAAAATGCGAATTTCTCTAAAACTGGCTGGACGATTTTCTTGATGTAAAAGGCAAAATGATTGATAATTCGCGATCTATATGTTAAACTACCGTGCATTTGGGGCCATTATCGGAGAAATAGAATAATATAGGTTGAAATATTGCCACCTTTTCGTTATTATACGTGCATTAATACTTAAATGCATAGGTGTCGTCTTTTGCAGCAGTCTATTTTACCAAAGATAATGTTTTATTGTAAAATGACAATTATTTTATATATTACTGCATTTCTCTGTCATATACAAGTATTTTGAATTAATTTGTTCCCGCCCAATACTTTATAACATTGTTCAACACTGATTCCGAGCAGTGGTTCGGTTCCCGTTGGAGCTAGTAGCTCGATAGGCATTTTGAATGAACAACATGAGGTGTGCTTACATTTTGCCATTTTTCTAAAAAACTGGCTGATCGATTTGCGTAGAATTAATGCGTAAAGCTTCCTTAAACATGTATCTTCAAGTTGGTATAACGTGCATTGAGGGCCATTATCCCTGAGAAAAGTTATTAGGGTTCAAGTGCAAGGGTGATTTTTTACGGTCATTTTGTATGGGGCTAGCAACGAGGTTGCTGCACTGTAGTACAAATATCTTAAAAACGTGCTGATCGATTTTTATAATTTTTTCACTATTGGATAGCTGAAACTATAGACTTCAATCGTGTATATGCGGTTTTCGGGGCCATTATCCCTGAAGTAAGATATTTAAAGAATGGCGAAAACCTAACTTTTCAACCCCTTTGTTTACCCATATTAAAAATTAAAATTCAAAAATAAATGAATGTAGATAGTAAATAATTTAATTTTTGGCAATTCTGCATTTAAATTTATTTGGTTTCGTGCTTAAAAACATAAATAAATGCATTTGAAAGTGACCGATAGTTTTCCGATAACAAGTACCAAAATTCGACGCTAAGTCACCGCCGCTAATTTGACGCACGTTATTTATATTTATAATGCCAATGTGTTTGTTGCGGGGTTCTCTGTCGTTCCTACAAGGCAGCGCGCAAAAACAACAACAACACTATGTAGATTGTTGCAAAAAAAAGTACAAAGTTACGTACACGACGCGTTAGCATCAAAAACTATGGCGTCATATTTCATAGGATTTTATTTCTTGTGATGTTTAGAATATATTACTATCTTTATTAGATTTAGATAATTTATTAATAGAGTCTTTTAAAATAATGAATTTATTTAAATAGGTATAAATTTACTGTACGCAACGATCGCACACAAAAAGCCTTAGTATGTGACGTCCCATGCGCAACATAATGTTGCAATATTTTTATACCCTGAACCCATTAAAAATGGGTATAAGGGTATATTGTATTTGTGCAAAATCCAAATGTATGTTACAGGTAGAAGGAAGCATCTCCGACCCCATAAAGTATATATATTCTTGACCAATAGTCGAGTCGATCTAGCCATGTCCGTCTGTCTGTCCGTCCGTCCGTCAGTATGTATGAACGCAAGGATCTCTGAACCTATAAGAGCTAGAGACTTGAAATTTTAGATGTAGATGCTCCTAGTTCCCGCGCAGATCGAGTTTGTTTTCCGATAATCGATAACTTACTCCGTTTCCAAGCAATCGATGAAAATCGATATCGATATACTGTTTTTTGGGCAATTTTGGTAAATAATAGGAGCTAGAGTCACCAAACTTGACATATAGCTTCTAAAATATAATATATATATGCATTTGATGTTGGAAGAAGAGGGTTCAGGGCATCCCCTAGTCAGGAGCTCCCGACTAGAACCGCTTACTTGTTTCATTGTCGAGTCGTTTGTTTTGGTTATGGTTGTTGTTGGTTCTTATGGAAAATATTCAGAAGTTGTCTTTGATTTTTTGGGCAACGGCAGTAGTAGCTGCTGGATGTTGTGCTTGAGTGAAGTATTTTGAAAAAGAGCTTTTGATCCAAAACCTTCAATGTCTGATTATTACTCAATGGAAAAAGGCTTATGTTCATACCATTATTATATATTTATTAATCAATGAATTTAAGTCTTGAGGTATGCTGTAGAATTTCAATAGTGGAAAAAAACTCAAAACAACAAAAATAATAATCGATAATAATTTTATATACGAATATATATATTTATATATATTTATATATACGCTTAAATAAGCTCACTAAATCAACAAATGGGAGTTGTCGAAAATGCGCCAAAGTACACAAAGGTACAAAATAATAGTTCTGGATGCAATCGGAACAATGGAGCGCATACACTTTGCACAACAACAATAACAACAACATGAATACACAATACAAAAGTCGTTCAAAGTTAAACGTTCGCCTTGATAATGATAAGAAATGGTTGCAAAACCATTAAAAGCATTCCCATTTTGGCTTAGATGAGTGCGAGAGGGCGAAGCTTCAGCGCTGACCAATGAAATAAAATGAGGGGAATCCCTCTTGAATGGCCGACCGCATCTGGCTGCAGCTGTTGGAATATTCCGTCTTAGACGTAACTGCTTGGATTATTTCAGTATAGCATTTGAAGAAATTTAATACTTTTAGTGCACAAAGCGAAAACTGTTGAATGGAATTGCGATAAAGCTGAAAAGCAAAGCACAATCACAAAGGTGATTGCAGTTTTTCCCTTTCAAAATGGAACACAAACTGAATGCCATGCCAAATGCAAAGAGACTAGCAAAAAACAGAATCGTAAGAGGTAAGCCAAATGCCAAAAGATTTCTGTTAATGGATTTCACATTTAAAGAAATGAATTCCAAATGCAGTACAGAATTAAAAAATTGTTGTATTTCGCATGCTTGTATAACAATTATGAACATACGACAGACTGTGTATCATTACAAAATTAGGGAAAACCAAAAAAATATTCATTATATGATTATCACGTGCAGGTTTTTAAGGTGTCGAACATATGTACACGACTGTCGTTTACCAGAAGCAATTGTAAATTTAAGATGTAGTTAAGTTATGTTCGAAAAAAATTGATTCCTAAAACTGGCTGTAGACGAAATAAGTCTGAGAACGTCTGGACTAGTGCATAAAACGGTAAGTTATCTTAATTTTGGCATATTAATGTAACATTTAATAGAAAACACTTCGTTTGTGACTTGCCCTAAGCATAAATACGTTTACTTAGCGTAGCTAAATGGTATCGTATAAATGGTCACCTAATGAGTCTGTTATGACGGCTTGACGAATCTTGTGTTTAAGGTTATGGTATCCTTTTGCAAGGGTATAACAACAGTGCCAATGCAAACGTCAATTAACTGAAACAAAAGTCCTGTACACACACACACACACACACACATGCACGCAGACGTGCACACATACGTGGGCAGCATAAAAACCGGCAAATGTAAATTGTTAATTAAAGGAATGCATTGTTTAATGTGCCCCTTGTGGGCCA